TTTGGATTCAGGTGGAAACAGCGTGTTAGAAGAGGGCCAACCAGGCGAGGGGGGACCTTCGGACTGACAAGCCAGCCGCGCAGGGAATCACAAAGGCGACGCCGTCCAAATTCGTCGGAAAGATCCAGAGCGTCACAGAAGTCGAAGACATGTTCAAGCACACACTCGGCCTCTATCGTGTTCTCGTTGTAATCTACATCGGCGCACAGGAGGCTGTTCACGCGTCTAAAGGGAAGGTGCAGGTGCGGATGCTTAAAATGGCTGCCAAGAATTGTGGAGAAATTCAAAAGTACTACAGGTTCCGCAAAACCCATGAACTACAGACAAAGGCCAGAAACCAGGGGCTGGCAACACTGATAAATGGTTGCAAAAATGTCTGTGAAATTGCCATAGGCGCCGGCAGGTTGGAAGTCAGAAGTATTGTACAGCAATGGCTGCTATAGAAACTTTTCAGCTTTCAGTCTTTCTCGCATCCTCTGGAAAAGAGCCGAATTTTTTTTGCTATTTAGCCACTAAGAGGTCTAAGTACTATTGTCTCAGTTCCGAAATATGGAACTCTCGGGTCTTTTGTTAAAAATGCAGGTAGTTATAGGACTCCAATGGCGACAAATATACAACACCCAAATAATGCTACAGGACCCTTAAAGGTAATTTTAGGATCAAACGGTTTATCTGCCCATAATTTAGAACCTACCCTTCAGGGAGCCTACTCTGTCAGGAGAAAGTAAAATGTACCGCGCAATTAAAATGCTAGCCTATCTCAGTCAGTGATAGTAGGGAAAATACGATTCCCATGTGATAAGTCAGAAGAACGTCCACCGTAGCCTGTCTGTACTGGCAGGGTACGCACACGGAAAAAAGGCAGCATATAACGAGAACCGTGAGCCTGAATGTTTAAGCTCCGAAGATGGGTGGACGACAAAAGCAGTCGAAGTGACAGACCTCTAATAAACCTATCCCGGTGAATGTTCTTTCTTAATCATCTTCTTCTTCTCTCACTCATATCTAAACTAAAACTGGATTTTTAAGTACAAAAATACCAGCTATGTTTCTGGCGACCCTGAGTTTGATTCTAATGCGGCTATACATTTGAATATAGCCTTGGAGTCGGGCCTAAGCGAGAGATTGAAACATGAGACAAATATAGAATTGGGCCAGGGTATCGCCTTCTCCGCTTCGTCTGCAGATGAGCAGAACACTCCTCGACTCCATAGAACATCTCGTATCGTACACAGGATATATACAAGTCAGTGAATCAGCAGTTCCGTAAAGAGCTGCAACGTTCCCCCTATCGAACAGTTTTCGTCTCTTTGCTATGTCTCGACGCCAAATCGTCTCTTTCTTTACCGTGACGATATACCCGCAATCTGAGTATGCAGTTATTATAGTTCGATACCACTCTCCGAAGACTTTTTTCGACGGTCAGGCTGTTTTCTGGTGGAACGCTTTAGAACATGGAACATATCTCCAGTGTAAAGACGGCAAAGTTGTTTCGGTTCGACAAGGCCGTCAAAGGTTTGGGTGGTGAAAATCCTGAATTCTCTCTCCCAGCCGTTTTTCTGATGGCAGAATACGGCACTGGGAAAATGGGAATATGACTTACTTATACAGCAAATTCCAATAAAGCGTGCTTTTGGGTTTTCTTAATTCGACTACAAATCATGAATTTTGTACTTTTTCATGGCATTTGGAAAAGGGTTACTGGTTGTGCAAATACAATCGAAATGTGGCGTCTTCTTCAAATTGTGCAACCAATAAAACAATTGTATTTCTCCTGTTTATAGCAGATAAGAGTCAAGCTAAGCGGTTTAAAATGGACACTTTTTGAAACAGTAGCTGAAACTAGACCAGTTCATCGATCTACGACCCAATTACAGATGGGACAACCATGCAATACGAGATACAGTGACGAAGAGAAAAGACAAAGGATTCAAAATGCTAGTGCTGGAAACTACGTCAAACAATATGTGGCTGTACCATTTATCCTGGTGAACAATAAAACTATTACGTTCTTGATGAAAAACGTGATCTACATATGTGCCAGTAGGTACCAAAATTCAGGAAAAGTCGTCTGTCGTCTTTAACTGTGTTATTCAATAGTGACTTAGCTTACTGACCTCCCTTGTATCCATGCCACCACTTTGGTAGTTTGGTTTTTTTCATCGTACCTGGGCGACTATATGAAATCGTGTTTAAAAGAAGTAAACATTAGATTTTGGGAAAACTAGTATCTAGGGGCCTCCTGGAACGGTTGCTCAAATAGGTGTTTAGTCTGGTGTCCGTTGGTTTCTTAGGACTGTTACCGACATAAGCTAATTACTCAACATCTAGACCATCATTCTAGGGATGTCAGGATGTTTAATTTTAAGCATGCAAGGACCGCAGAATTTAATGGAACCAATAAATTTCGCGAGTGCTCGTCAGCTGCGGCCTCTCGCTGCATAACATGAACTACGTATAGGAGAATGCAATAGTTGAATTCTTACATTCGTACATTGCGCTACCTGGAGGCGGCCTATAATAAAGCAGTTGCAACTTGACCTAGGCAAACAGATGGGGCACGTGGTTAACTTAACGTCGCCTTGGCAACATCCAGCTGCCTGGCATAGAAATCTCCCTCCCCCTTTTGCCCTAAAGGTTTTTCATCACTTGCGCTTCCCACGGTATGTTTGAAATCCCTAACGTCATTGATTAGCCTACTTGACAGTTCACGATGACTTTGTTGTTATGCATCGATTGTTTTCTGTAAGAATTCAACTATTACATTCTCCTATACTTAGGTCATGTTATGCAGCGAGAGACCGCAGCTGACGAGCACTCGCGAAATTTATTGGTTCCATTAAATTCTGCAGTCATTGCATGCCTTAAATTTGCACCAGGGAAAAATGCTTTAAATGTCAGGATGTCTTTTCATAGCAGAAGAGGAGAAATCGAAAATGTGTTTCAGGAAATATATTCACAAAGCAGTTTCAAACCCCCCAGGCATATACAAAAAGCGACCCAGTTTTCAAAATGATAGCAAATGTTGAACTTTCTTGGAAGAAAAGTATTGGGATGTTTTCAAATAGCTAGCACCGGAAGACGCAAGATCCCCCAATAAGTTCCATCCATCCTTTCAGACAAAAGCAGTGACCTGACACAAGCATGGAAAATTAGCAATGAAACGCACATACCAAAACTACTCAGCAAGTGATTCATTTGTGATCGAGAACAATACAGGTCGCTGGACCACAGAAGAGTAGGCAAAAGTAAAAAGCGTCATAATTTAATAAAATGAACGAAACTGACTAGATTCACAACAGACGAATCCTATATTCTGATGTCTGCCAGAAACTTAACACTTATGGCGTGTCTGTAGGGCGTCGTTCAGGGCAACGGAACACCAAAAACGGTATAATAACTAACCCCAGAGTGTCGACAAAACTGGTATCAAATATTTAGCCACCGTTGCTCAAGAATCCCCCTTTACGATTAATCAGTAAGAAACAAATGACGACACGGCTTAGCCTATTATTCGCCAGACCCTTTTGACAGCATCGGCAATCCTAGTGGTCCCTTCCGAGACGAAAATAGCGGTGACTATGAGTTGGCTACGTCTGTGAGCTCTGAGTAGTCTTTATTGCGCTGTATTTGCTAAGAGAACAGCATATGTCTAAGGTGTTGTAAATGTAGCCAAAGCTGCGATATCGCCGTCTAATTACGCCTTGTGTGAGTCCCCAAGGAAGAACACAGCAAGAAGGGCACAAAAATAGAAGTCTTTTTTTTCCATACCTAGTACAAAGCATGCAAGATTGGACCAATAAAATGGTGTTCTTGAGGGGTCACATTCTGACTGACTGCCGGGCTGGACAGAGTGATAGCGGAGAAAACTAATCCTGGACGGTGGCTTGATTGACCTCATCACCCGCACGGCTTGTACCGATCGAAATTGCACTGTTGGATGAGTAATCAGGGCAGTGTAATGACTGATCGTTAGGCCTGCCCCTTATATAAGGCTTTAGGAATCTGTGACAGGTCGGAACACCTGTACTCTGGCCTGCGAGCAGAATAAATCGATGAAAGTTGATCTGGAGTGGCTTTAAACGTGCATGATCTCAGTCGACATAACATAAGTCATAACTCAATTGTACAGCGTTTCTTTCAATGACCAAGGACCTCGGCGTAGGATTAGCCTTGGGATGGCCAGCGACAATAAGTCAGTCAGAAATGTTCATTCATGTCCCATTCATCGTTGTTGGTAACGGTCTCCTTAACTGATGGCTCCATTAACATAGTAATACCGGGCCAGAAGTTGTCGTATTGAAGGAAATCCCGGAAGTGGGTGCTATATTGAGAAAATCGCAAATTCACTGGTAACCAATCGTTGTCTTCAAGTGAAGCTGCGCGCACATTCCGCGCAAATGAGGGCAAAATAAAATGATGGGTTGAGAATGAACAGGAGGAGAAGCATTGTCCTGCTCACCAGAGTACCCTGATTAGAAACCTGTGTTGTCGATACAACCTTAAATGGTGGAGACAAGAAAAATTATCACTATCGTGAGGACTGGTACGTTTCTTCTGGCTGTTATGAGTCTCGCCTGAGTCACCATGACCTCAAGAGACAACTCGCTTCAAAAGTGACCAAATAATCTAGCGTTACATGCGTTCTTACACATGTAACAGTTGCAGCCCAAAACATGCAACCTACCAAGAATGAATTGCAAAATGATTCATCATTCGAAGCTGAAACAGCTAACTCATCTGTTTAACGACAAACAGAAATATGGCTCAGAAAAAAAACACTCCTGCTCTGCACCATGCACTCTAC